ATGGTGTGGGAGGTTGCTTTTCAACCTTCCATCTTTTCTCTCCCAGGCTTCTAAAGGCTACCATTACTTTAGATGATTTTAATGGTTATGCCTTACTTTTCATGGGCTATATAAGATATGCATGAGGCTTGCATTTTTGCAAGAGTGAAGTTCTTCTTCTGCCTCTATTTTCTCTCTAAAAACTGTAGGATTTCTACTCCTTTCTCTCTCTCTCTTTTGAAGTTAGTTTGGTGGCTTAGAAGACCTATTGAGTTGTTCCCTTTAGTGCTTAATTGAGTTAAGCACTTAAAGGCTTAAGACACTAAAGAATACAAGAAGGAACTAGCATTCCAAGTGTCTTACTCTTGATGGTGGATACTTGTAGAGAAGATCATACACTTTGATCTTTTGTTATCTTCATCAACACCCCAAAACCAAGTGGCTTCAAAGGTTATCTCTAAAACATCCTATGGTTATGGTTTTATTTCATTTGAACCTCTATAAATGGATCCATGATGGTTCGGTTTTGTTATGAACTAAAAATAAACTTGTTATTTTTAAAGTCTTCCGTTGCCGGTTTTTGTGAAAAACAAACTTTTATTTCATATCAAAACCCAACACTACAATCAACAACTAAGATTACAGTCACCATGTAATATGTTATTTTTCATTATTTGAATTAAGGTTTTACTTAAAAATTCTTGCATAATACATTGTATTTATTCAATAAAAATTATTATATTTTTTTATATATTTAACAAAATCTTATTAAGCTTATTATTATTAGTACATTTTAATTTTATATAGTTATCTCTAAAAAGGTAACTTGCAAATTTCTCCAAGTTTATCGCTTTTTGAGGATCAAGTTAAGAACTTGACACTTTATGAGATTGAATTCTTTTTACTCCAGAACAATTCAACCCTCAAAGATTTTGATGGAATGCCTTACCCTAATCATGAGTTCGTATCTTCTTCAAATAATCGATTGATTACTGAGGAGCTAGATTTTGACATGACGACTCTATTGAAAGACTTTCATCAGTTACTTGGTTCATTAACAGTTGAACAAAGAGGTGTTTTTGACGATATTATGACAAATGTTAAACAAAATAAAGAAGGCGTATTTTTTGTTTACGGTTACGGAGGTACCGGGAAAACGTTTCTTTGGAAAACATTATCTGCTGCTTTAAGATCATAGGGTGAAATCGTGTTTGTAACATCCTGTTTCCTGTCATTTCTTATTTCAGGGTCGTGGGCCAGAAGTCGATTGTGTAAAGGATTTGAGCCTTAAGAAGGTAATGTTTAGACCTTTTGGAAGGAGGCAATGATGATTGTAAGATCTTAACCTTTGAATTGTGTTTTGGGCCGAAGGGTAGAAAAGGGAAAGTCATAGGCTGTGGTCTTGCATGAAATATGCATTTTTGTTCTAGAAGTTTTTAGTCCAAGATATCTAGTTAATATTGTAGGGCTCTTCAACACATTTATTGTGGATATAAAGATCGTCAAAAATGGAGTTGGAACGAAGAAGTTATGACTGTTTGAAGTTAGCAAGGTTTTGGGTTAAGGCGAGTATGTTGGGCGTACTAGGCAAGGCTGATCGCGGAGGATCAACCTGGTACGGTGGGCGTACGCAAGCCTGATGCAAACCCTAATATTGGGTCTTGGTCCCTATTTAAAGACCTTAAGTCATTTCAAACCCCTTTTTACCTTCAACCTCCATCCTCTCTAACCCTAATTTCAAAACCCTAGCCCTATTTTTGAGACCCTTGAGTTTTTGAGTGCCTTGGAGTGTTCTTGGTGCATCTTGGTGAAGAAGGAGCTCATTGGAGAAGTGTTGGTTGCATTGGAGCTTGTAGATCCATACCTTGTTCACCTTGATCTTTCTTCTGGAGGTATAAAGCTTGAATCTTGATGATGCATTTGTTAGATCTGGCTACTTTTAGGTGTTATGAGCTTTTGGTCACTTTAGTGCATAAACTTTAGATATTGAAAGTTTGTGACCTTTTATGGATAAATTTGGAAACTTTATCCATCTAAACATCATATCGATTCAGATCTGAAGGTTGGAGACTTGGACTTAATGGATTAAGTTGAGAAAGATGCACTTTTGGTCCCTTTGAGACTTAAAGACTAGATCTTGGTTGTTTGGACCATCTTAATGGATGAAGTTGGAAACTTTATCCATTATGGAGCTATTAGGAACCATAAAAATGTGATCTTGGTCCTTCTATCCCTTCCATGCAAGAGTTATGATGTCTTAATGGATTAATAAGTTAGGGTTTTAGCTTTTAGGCCTTTTTCTAGCCATGGAAAGTCATAAAGGTGGAAACTTTATGACTTAAGTCGATGTTTTGAGTCTAGATCTGAGCTCTGGACAAAAGACCTTAGGGGATAAAGTGTTTAATGGAGGAATGAGTACATGCCACGTACGCTGGGCATACTCAGCAACCTTGGACTTTCTTTCGTTGATTTCTGTTGACCGTTGACTTTTTGACCAAGTTTGAATTTAGGTAAAACTTGAGGATTTTGGGTTATTAATTAAGATTCTATCTGGTTATGGTGTTAGTGGATTCGCATGTGCAAGCAGTACAGAAAATGGATCGTATCGCAGTGTTTCAGAGTTCTTTGATTTAGGTGAGTTTCGGCTCATTGTACCGTAGGTCGAAGGCACCAATGTTAACCCACTAGTTTTGGTTATTTTTTAGTAGAGGGATGCCATAGGGACTGTATGTAGTCATGTAGGATAGAATGATGACTTTTGATCTAGGCTTCTTGTTTGTTCCTTGTTTGGTTATGGCTCTGGAGTAGGATCACCTGTCCGGTTGTCTATCTCACCTCTGAGTATATACGGTTATGCATTCCTTGGATTGTTAGCTATGTATCCTTATGTATAGTCTGTTGTTGTGATGTAGTGGGTCGTTATGCATGCTTGTATGTTTATCGTATGGGGTATTTTGGGGAAAACTCACTAAGCCTTGTACTTACCTAATTGTTTATGTTTTCAGGTTTTATCAGTGATCGTGGGAAGGCGAATGCGGGAATGTACACACTCATAAACAACATTGAGGATTTCGCGTTTCTTATATTACTCTGATTTTCAATAAATGAATTTTGGAATAAACGGTTTTCTAAATAATGGATTTATAATTGAGAAGTTTTACCTTAATAAAGTGAATTTTTTTGGTTGTGAAAATGGGACGTTTCAATGTTAAATGTTGCTTCAAGTGGTATTGCTTCATTATTATTGACAGGAGGCAAGACAACACACTCTCGGTTTATAATCTCTTTAAAGCTTACTGAGGATTCATTTTGTTCTATAATGCGGGAAAGTGATGTTGCCGAATTGTTAAAAAAAACATCATTGATTATATGGGACGAGGCACCCATGATTCACAAGCATGCCTTTGAAGCTCTGGATATATCTTTGAAGGATATATTGAGTTGTGATCTTCATAGCAACTCAAAATTGCCATTTGGAGGAAAAACAATTGTTTTTGGACGTGATTTCAGACAGATTCTACCTGTTGTTTCTAACGGAAGTAGACAAGACATCGTGAATGCTTTGATAAGTTCCTCCTATATTTGGTCAAATTGCAAAGTCTTAAGATTAACAAAAAACATGAGGTTAAGTATCCACACATCTGATATTGAAGAAACAACCACATTTGCAAACTGGCTTTTGGATATAGGAGAAGGAAATGTTGGTGATTTAAATGACGGCGAGACAATTATTGATATACCAGATGATATTCTCATTACTGATTCATCAGATCATATTGGTTTATTAATTGCATTTGTCTATCATTCTATTATTGAAAATGCCAAGAATCTGATGTTTTTTCAAGAAATAGCAATCCTTGCACCGAAAAATGAAGTCGTTTAAGAAATAAACAATCGTTTGTTATCATTATTTCCAGGCGATGAAAAAGAATACTTAAGTTCATATAGTCTTTGTCATTCAGATTTTATAAATGATGACTTTGGCAAATCTTTATACTTGCCTGGTGTTCTAAATGACCTTAAACCTTCAGGTTTGCCAATTCATAAATTGATATTAAAAGTCGGTGTTTCAGTTATGTTATTGAGGAATATTGATCAAAAATACGGTTTGTGTAACGGAACGAGGCTACAAGTTATAGCATTGGGTAAGCGTGTTATAGAAGCAAAAATAATTTCTGGAAGTAATATAGGAAATCATACGTTTATTCCAAGAATGTCACTGACCCCTTCAGATAAAATGATTCCTTCACCTTTCAAAGAAAACAATTTTCACTTGGTGTATGTTTTGTGATGACAATAAACAAAAAGTCAATGACAGTCGTTATCAAAGGTTGATTTATATTTTAGACAACCAATGTTTACTCTTGAGCAATTATATGTTGCATTGTCTAGAGTTAAAAGCATAGACATATTGAAAATATTAATTTTAGACAATAAAGGTATCAGTAGCAACAAGACATTTAATGTTGTATTTTCAAAAAAGTATTTGGAAATTTGTGATTTTTAATAATTATTTAAAATATGTAATTACTAATTTTTAGTAATTTGGGTTCACTTACATACTTATTCAATAAAATATTTGGTTATATATAAAAGTATTACTTTAATTATTGTTGATGTTCAAAATTTGATATTAATTTCTTTTTAATATATCTATGTATCATACACCTAATAAGATAAAAAGATTAATAAACTCGTCGTTTGTTACAAACATACAACACAACATTCAAACCATCTCATTAATTAACTATTTATAATCAGTTTTTTCGAAAAACAATGCAATTTCAATCAATAAAAATATTTCATAATTAAATTAGAGTATTTATATGATAAAATGGGGTGTCTTTTTAGCCAACCCCATATTTAATCCATAATCCATAATTAATAATTAAAGTCGAATATAAACTTTTAAAATCACAAATGAGATAATCAAAGCACACGTGTGAAAGGGCAAAAGCGATATTTGGATCTTGTAGGAGGGTTACATACGTCTTTAAAGAAATGGGTAAGGGATAAATGTTCTGAAATTTGAGATATCCTCTACGCTAGGGAGTCTTGTCGAGAAGAAAATGGCCACTTCCGTCGCTGCTTCCTTTCAAATCAGGTAAGAACCCTAATTCTCCGTTCAATTATTGCTTCGATGCGCATGAACTTATCTTCTAAATGTTTCGGATGTTTATCGGCGTAATTTAAGAGTTGTGCCGATTGATTGACTACATCAGAGTTTGAGCAAGTCTTCAGATTCAAAGAATAGAGTTACACATTGATCTTCGCTTTGATTAATTCTGCCATTAAACTTGCAACAAAACTCTTGTCACATATCTATTTGAAAAAAATAATACTTTTGACATTCAGAATCGAAGGTATCTCTTTTCTACAAACATTATCCCATGGAAATTAAATTGTAAAAGACATAAAACATCTTGGTGGAAGTGGAACTCTTCTTCGTTGTTTAAAATCATGACAAATAAACTCAAATCTAACAAACACTTACTTTGTTCATCATCATTTGTCAGATTCAGTTCCAGCAGCTTAACATCACATGAGCTTTGCCATTTAACCCCAAACCCTAATCAATGGAGGTCTTCACATTTAGCCAAGAGCTATAAGTTCGTCACATCCATACACAGACCATTGAAGAGTGCTGTGGTTGCCCCAATGGCTCTAGGAGCAGTATGAACTCGTGATACTTTTTTTAAATTCCATTTCCATTAGATATAATATCATGTAATTTCACAAGACTTGATAATTTTGTAAACAAAACTATTCGGTTTTTGTGGCTGCAGAAGCAGAATACAAGTCAAGATACAGATGACATGTATGATGACTTGTTTAAGAAATATGGGAAGGTTGTTTACAAAAGCAATGACAAAAGATCTCCTGTCGCTGATGTTGATGATGATGCTGAGTGCTTAGCTTGTAAGCCCTTCAGATTTTTTTAAACTTATAAAAATTTATACTTTCAGATTGTTAACTTATTTATCGTATTCTACATTTTTTTTTTAAAAATCTTGTTTAGTTGCTGTGGCAATGGCAAAGATTGCAAGTGATGTGAAGGGTGGAGATATAAAACTCCTGTTTGTTAAGCCTCTGGTTTATTGGACAAAATTTTTCCTCATTACAACTGCTTTTTCTAGACCTCAAATTGATGCCATAAGGTAACGATTTTTAAAATAATTTATATTTTATAACATCATGAGAGGTGCAAATTTAAATATAGTCTGTTTGCTAAATGCTAATCTTATTTTCTACCACAGGAACAGAATAAACGATCTAGCTGAAAAACAATATGGGATATTTGCAACTGGAGATACAAAACCGAATTCATGGACATTGTTAGACTTTGGTAGGTTTTCTTTTTCACTCTTCATTGTTAAGGATTATAAGGGTAAAATGGTCACTCTTCATTGTTAAGGATTATAAGGGTAAAATGGTCATTTAGTAACAATATTGAAACGGTTTATTACTTTATCTAGAAAAGAAACATACATCACTTTATCCAATACAAGGAGAAAAAAAAGATTCTGTTAGGTCCTAACTAACAGTAGAAACAGTAACAGCATCAGTACCAGTGTTGACATGACAGGTGATTTGTGTATATTTTCAGGTGACATAGTGGTGCACATATTTCTTCCGGAACAGAGAGAACTTTACAACTTGGAAGAGTTTTACGCTAATGCAACTCTCATAGACTTGCCTTTTAAAAACGAAAACAACTTTCAACGTTGAAAAGATATCAATTAAGTTGTAGATTACAGGGTTGTATTTTTCAAATGATTATTGTAATTTTAAAATATATTTAATGATAGTTAGGTAATTTTACCATCACCCAAGTAAAAAAAAAATAGGATTAGTTTTTTATGTGTTCTTCCAAATCACATTATTTTACTCTACAAATCAAACTAAGTAAAAAAATATCAATTTTTTCGCATAAAAGAGTCCATTAAATTACATTTTATAAAATTGGACAATTATTGCTACATTTAAGGGTCCGTTATTTTATATTTTCCAAATTCCAAAAATATTCGATATTTTTATATTTGTGTTTTCTTGGTCAATCTTATCAAATATGCTTTTATTAATTTATTGGATTCCGATTCCATGATATTTTAGGCGATGAGTGTTTGTTATTACAATTCGAAAATTGAATCCCCCAAGTTATAAGGGCACTACGAAGTAATTGTGATATATTTTTTACAATGTTACAATTTTATTTTCTTAAAGTGTTTGTAAATTAAGGTGAGGTATGTTTTTTTTTTTTCAATTAAATGGGAAATTTCCTTCCATTTTTTTTGTATTATCTTCTTACATATTTAAAAACATTTGTCATATTTAATATATTTTTTTTTCATGCATAATAGGTGTTTATAATAATTTATTCTTGTTGTATGTCGAGTCTTATACAATGATTTCTTCAATAGATGCAAAAGCATAAGGATTAAAGAGTGGTGTACTGTTGCATGCACAAAAAAGTTTGACCCTATGTTTTTGCAACAATACGTCCAAAACATCGTGTCAGGCGAGACGATATGCTGAGTGAAAGGAGTGAGGGAAAACTTCCCCCACCTATCATGGGTCAGGTAAAAAAGGTGAGGGAAAGAAGTGAAGGGAGTCTATCGTCCACTCTCTTTCCTCGTGTGATTCATCAGTATTGTACTTTTTTTTTCTGATTTTTTAATATTTGTTAAATTATATATCTATTAAAAAATTATAAAAAATATATCAAAATTAATGATTTTTAATTTCCTATAAAATGAGTATAATATTTGTATGAAATATATATATTTTTTAAAAATAAAAAAAATAAAAGATTCTAACCACACCTTCACTTTTGGTGAAAGAAAGAAAAATAGAAGAAAATATCGGACAAAAAGTGATGAAAACTTCTCACACACACTCTCGGGTCTTTAAAGAGAAAAATAAAAAAAAGATTTTAGCCAAAGTAAAATAAAGTAAAATCTAGGGTTTGCTTCCCTTTCATTCACCCCATCAACCATCTCTCTTCTTTGTTTCGACCACTTTCTCTGGCCACCACTACCCATTGCTGTCGCCACATCATCACTGCTTCGACCCAATCTTTGCTACTATTGCAGCCTGCTGGCCCCTACTACCCTCACCATTACCACCGCCTCGCAATCGTCGCCTCCATTATCTGCCCACGACTACCGTCGTTTGCTCCCTGCTCTCCTACACTTTTCAGTTTTCACAATCTCATCTCCTCCTTCACCGCGAGCCACCCTTCGGAACCATTACCTGTTGCCGATCCCAACTAGCCTCCTCCTCTGCTCCTACTAGACTTTTATTCCCTTCGCCTCCGCCCCCTTTCCATCCTTTTGCCGGCGCCGTACTATTTCCTCTCCAGCGTTCCCACCTTGCAAAAGATCACGTCTTTCCCCCGTTCATCGCATCACAGGTCGCAGCCCTCACCATTTCTGTTTCTTTTATGCATACAAAACCCACATTTTGTTACCAGTTATGGCGTGGTATTTCCCCTTCATCTCTTCATACAATCTAGTTATCTAGGTACGGTTTTTAGATTTTTGTTTTTCCAATTCCAAGCTATAATGAACTTAATGGTATTGTTGATATGTAGACCAGAGATTATGACTTATACAAGCTATCCAACCAGAATGGATTTGCAGATGTGCATCATTTGATCAAGTCCATTCAAAGGAAAACTAAACCACTTGGATTAATTCACACAGATGTGTGTGACATGAAATCAATTCCATCTAAGGGTGGAAACAAGTATTTTATCACTTTTATTGATGATTGCACTAAATTATGCTATGTCTATTTGCTCAAAAGTAAAGATGAAGCCGTAGAGAAATTTAAATTGTATAAAAGTGAAGTTGAGAATCAACCCAACAATAAAATTAAAGTACTCAAAAGTGATCGTGGAGGTGAATATGTATCACCATTTGAGGAATTTGCACATCATGGTATTATAAATGAGCTTACTGCACCTTATTCACCATAACAAAATGGCATCGCAGAAAGGAAAAATCATATCTTAAAGGAAATGATGAATGCCATGTTATAAAGTTTTGGGTTGCCACCCTTAATGTGTGTGTAGGGGGGAGCTGTATTATCATCTATTTACCTTTTAAATAAGGTACCACAAAATAAATCAGATAAAACACCATACGAGTTATGGCCGGGTCAAAAACCATCCTACAAAATACATTCGAGTGTGGGGGTGCCTTGCAAAAGTCATGATACTTGCACCAAAGGTGGTCAAGATAGGACCCAAGACTATTGATTGCATATTTATTGGATATGTACAAAACAACAGTGCTTATCGATTTCTTGTGCATGACTCAAAAATACCAGAAATTCATAAAGGAAAAATAATGGAGTCAAGAAACGTATCGTTCTTTGAGAATGTGTTTTCATGTCTTGCTAAGGCCGAGACAAGTGCTACAAAAATAGTCAAGCAAAATGAATCCTCTCATGAAGACAAAACAGAGGAAGAAATAGAGCCCCGAAAAAGTAAAAGGGTACGAGTTGAGAAGTCATTTTGGAGATGATTTCTACACTTACATTGTCTCAAACTTTCAAAGAGGCAGTTACCTCTTCTGAAGGACCTCAATAGAAAGAGGCAATTAAGAGCGAAATGGATTCCATCTTGCAAAACCATACATGGGAGCTAGTGGATTTACCTCAAGGTTGATGGGTTTTGAGCATTACAACATCCATATGGTGTACATGCAACCCTAATTGCTTTGGATCTAAGTTTTTCTCTATTGAACATACAAATTGAATACCAAAGCATTGAACCCTAGAAGTAGCATACACAATTCGAAAATCATATAAACATTAGGGTTAGAACATTACCTCACTTGTTATGTAACAATAACAAGTTCAATCCTTGAAGATATTGACCATGAAAGCTTAGTGCCCCAAGTGTTGCACCTCTAATGGAGTCACAAACACTCTATGCAAAGAATGACTTGGAGAGAGGTGAAAATCGGCCACCTTAGGGTTTCTGAAGATTAGGGTTGATTTTTCTTAGTCTTGGGGTGTTTATATAGATGAGTGGGCTGCTAGGGTTTCTGGAGGAAACCCTAATTACTGCTTAAGACTTAAGCAGCCCATGAACTTCTTCTTTAGAGCCCTTGGACGAAATATTATGGCCTTACCCATAAATTTCGTCCACTCCACTCTATGGAGTCCATCAGCCCAGTTCTGCAACTATCAATGATTTGCGAAACAGCCCCTCCATTATTAATCAGTTCCTTTTAATCCCAAAATTAATACTAGATTAATTTCTGATTAATTACCAATTAATAATATGATTTCCAAATAATATATTAATCTTATAATATATTAATAAAATGATTTTTAGTACCAATTTATTATTCATATAATAAATCCTACTCTTTCTCCACTTGTCATCCTGTCAAGTTGCATGAGTGAAGGCAACCAAAAAGGACCATGCTCATAATCAAATCAAGTACATACCAAATATAGTTATGGGCTTAGACATCTATTCCAACATTCTCCCACTTGGATAAGTCTAATAACTATTATTGCAAGTATGACTTCAGAATTTGATCAGCAATCGTAGCTTTCAAAAACTGTTGTTGAACTCTGATCTTATCAGTAACGCGTCCTTTAGATAAGGGATCAAATATTCCTCCATTCTACAAGATATCCTATGGACATGAGACATGGATTTAATCATTCTCTCTATCCAAGTTTTGTTTCCCGATTTCCGATTTATGACGACTGACTAATTGAACAAATCAAATCAGTTCAGGCTTGACCAAGCGCTTAGGGTGTCATCACTAAATCATCGAGGGGCCCACATATATCGCTTTTATCCCATTTAGGGTAAAAGGAACAGATACACTTCGACTCATATGTTTGTACTATTTATTCATCAAATCACACACAACAATACGTTTTATAACATCAGGTTACTGATGCGTTTACGTATTATCAATGCGCAACCGACTCGTAAACAACAACTATATGTCTCTGTTTTTAAGAATATAAGATATTATCGTCTCACAATCACTCGTGATAAAATCCATGATGTAACATGAAAGAACCCCTTTCTAAACTTTCATATTTCTGAAAGACCCAAACTTTCATATTTGACAATATAGTTATTCC